GATTTCCTGCTGCTATGCTTTAAAAAGGTATGTCAGAGCAGAACCTAAGCGTGCATGAACCCTACAGTCAGCCTATGAGAAAAACAGTTTCATGCATTTCTTTTTTTTTACCCTACAGAACAATCGATAAGAAGCATAACAAATGAGTAAACCTCTACCTTGTATTTTTAGAATTATTTTTTTTTTTGGTTTTATGACTTGGGAAAGTGACACCCCTGCATGCAGATGGAAAAAGGACAGAGCCCGACTACTAATACAGCTTTTCGAGATGATGGGAGCCACTGGACAATCAAAGGAGGTGCCAGGAAATTAAGCCGTTCCTGAAAAAAAACTGCTATTGTCACTAGATTTTCAGTGGCCCCAGGCTGGACTTGGGGTCATCATACTATTCTTTTTCGTGTTTTGACTTCAGGAGTAGGTAAAAAAGAAAATCAGAACTGAGCCCAAGAATAATAAACTTAAATAAAAGACGTAACACCTAAAGAAACTGATGTCCTTAAACCCGTAGCCTGCGACAGCCTGGAGTGCATCAGATAGGCGAGAGGCACAGCCGTGCCGGAGGTACTGCTTCAGCAGCCGCAACTCACTCTGAAGTGCGACACCAAACATTTCACCGTGCTTGCCAAAGCATGTGTGACTATCAGATGATAAACCAGCATGGCCGGGGAAGGCTGTCATGTCCCTCCTACCAAAGGTGGTGTGCTTTACAACCAGAAATTCATTAAAGGCCTTGGGGATTTCCTCTTTATTCTAACTCTGAAGCAATTGCATTGATACTGCTGTTAATTGAGTTTCACGGAGTCATAGAATCGTTTAGACTGGAAAAGACCTTTAAGATCATCAAGTCCAAATGTTAACCTAACCCTGCCATCCCACCACTAAACCATGTCCCTAAGCACCTCGTCTACCCATCTTTAAAATCCCTCCAGGGATGGGGACTCAACCACTTCCCTGGGCAGCCCATTCCCATGCTTGACAACCCTCTCGGTGAAGAAATTTTCCATAATGTCCAACTTAAACCTGATCTGGTGCAACCTGAGGCCATTTCCCCTCCTTCTATCACCCGTTACCCTGATGCCTTGCTTGAATGCATCTTTTAAATGAGGCCTCCCCATTCCACTGAAATTTTGTGTACACAACGAAAGCTTTTCTCACATGTAACCCAAGATGTATCTTAACCTCTGGAATCGGCTTAAGCAGCCATTCAGGGAATAACCTCCCATGTATCTGCAAGGACTAAAACGCACAACTCCCAGTTAACTGGAGACTCTTGTGCATGTCCTTCACGCATTTGATGCCTGAGAAATGAAAGTAACCTGCAATATTCACATTAACAAATGCCTAAAAATAAATGTATTGAAAAGAACCTTGCCATAAAGACAAACACAACAGTGGGAGCAGATAGCGTAAGTGTATCAACGCACATTTCAGCTTTAACATTTGTCGTGGTTTAACCCCATTTGGCAACTAAGAACCACACAGCCACTTGCTCACCCTCCCTGACCACCCCAGTAGGATGAAGGAGAGAATCAGGGGGGAAAAAAAAAAAAAGTAAACCCCATGGGTTGAGATAAAGACAGTTTAATAGGACAGCAGAGAAAGAGAAAATAATAATAATTTTAAAAGAACATACAAAGCGAGTGATGCACAATGCATTTGCTCACCTTCCACTGATCAATGCCCAGCCTGTCCCTGAGCAGCAATCACTGCCCCCAGCCAGCTTCCCCCAGCTTATATACTGAGCATAATGTCATATGGTATGGAATAGCCCTTTGGCCAGTTGGGGTCAGCTGTCCTGGCTGTGCCCCCTCCCAGCTTCTTGTGCACCTGGCAGAGCAGGGGAAGCTGAACAGTCCTTGACTGGTGTAAGCCCTGCTCAGCAACAACTAAAACAGCGTGTTATCAATGTTCTTCTCATCCTAAATCCAAAACACAGCACTGTGCCAGCCACTAGGAAGAAAACTAATTCTCTCCCAGCTGAAACCAGGACAACATTACATCTACCAACATATGATGAGAGATTTTAAGCAGTAGTGCCAAATAAAAAGCAGTGGGACACAGGTAGAACAAAAGGAAGAAAAATATATGAGAGTTATAGAAAGTTTAGCTAGTCTATTAGGTAAAAACTTTAAAATTAAAGACTGTAACTTCCTTACTATAATTAATGATAGAAAATTCTGCCTCTGGCGCTTCACTTGCAATCAAAAAAAAAAATCACTGCACCTGCATAGAACTGAAAGGAATTTCCAGTGGTTCTTATTTTAGGAAGAGGTATAATACAGTAGCTGGAACATCATTAATCTTCCTGTGAAAAATATACGTTAATTCTCTTTGAAAAAAACCCAACATGTCATAGCCCCGAACTCACTTCAAAAACATAAAAATATCACAGTTTTTTTGAAGAAATAGTGCTAAAAATTATTTTCAGCAAATAAGGCTGTGACTAAGTCCTCTTACATGAGGCACAATTACAAATGACTCACTGAAGAAGTCAGAAGCAGTGTGTGTCAGAGCCCCAGCTCTGAAGCTGTCTCTGCTCATCCACTGATCCTTCCATGGCAAGCTCATGCATCCTGATCTGCTTCCCACGAGACGGCATCAGTCTGAAAGCCACACGCTGACGTAGGAACAGAGCGATGTCTGTGCTGGGTTAGACAAGAGGTCCATCTCTGAACTATTTCCCGTTCCCATCTACATCTTTTGCAGATGAGGGAACCAAACCTGCAGAGTCTTCGAAACACAGGTCAGCCACAGATTCACACAGAGGCACAGCAAAGGTCCCAACTAGCTCCTTCACTCCTTCCCCAGCGCTGCCTCACATCCAATTCACTTTCTGTCTTCCGAGCATTTAGCAAACATTTTTATGGAACTGATTTCTCTTTCTCGTCTTCTGACCAGTCATTTATCCATGCAAGGGCCTTTCCTCTCATGCTACGGCTGCTTAGAAAGCCTCTTGGAAATCCAAGCTTTTGCTCACCCCGCTATGCATACAAGCCTCCCTGGCCCTCTGCATCCAGGTACCACTATCACTTCCAGATAAATGACTCCTAAAACTGTCATCTGAACATAGCTACACTAACCATTCTTGTTCAGTAAGTCATCGCTTTCAATAACAAGAATAATTAATTTAGCTCAATCTTCAGAATAAAGCATGTGTTATCTCCACAGCTCTTCTGCATCTTGATCTTAGAATCATAGAACCATAGAATCATTTAGGTTGGAAAGTCCTTTAAGATCATCAAGTCCAACCGTTAACCTAGCACAAATGCTTGACAACCCTTTCAGTGAAAAAATTTTTCCTAATGTCTAACCTAAA